TCACTGAGTTACGCAAGCCCCTTCGCCACGACAAGGCAGTGATCCATGAAGGGGACAGAAACCCTAGGGTTGGGTTAAAACATAAATCATGTGTTTGCTCATATTTTTAAAATATATCCTGATTACTGTTTTCTTTTTCCCTAGGTCATTTCCTTCAGAACCATCTGCCTTGCTACTGGCTGATCTCTATTGTACAAGATTGGCATTGTGTGGTTATCGTGAACACCTATCCAAAGAGACTCTGATGGAATTATTTTCTAAATTGCAATTCAATATTTCTTCCAGTGTACCTAAAGTAAGCTGATCTCCAACTGTTTTTTGCTTCTCTACTGTTTTTTCCTGTTTCACAAAGAGTCACTGCTGCAGGATGTGCAGTAAAATTAAGGCAGCAGCACAGTCAGCAGTCTGTGGTACAGACTCTGGTACAGCGTTCAGCATCTAATGTGTTCTCACCCGCGTGTTAATTAGTGTTACATACTTAATATTTTGTGTTACATGCTCTCTGGCATTACACAGATAAAAAGGATGGTTCTCAAGCAAAGACTCAAAAGAAATGAATCAAAAGCACAGAACAAAACATTGGAGAACATTTGAACCTCCACAGTCACATTCACAAATCTTAAGGATAGCTGTTTGCAAGAAAATGAAACTGCAGAACATGAACTGCTGTTACAATATGATTCCATCCATCTTGTCATAAACAGAAATTATGAGTTTGATATTTTCTCCAGGGAGTCAGAATTTGTAGTTGCACTACATTTTTCCTTGATGTTAATTGTGTATTGCAGTTTTTTTTTAATGTAGAAATGGACTATTCATTTTTTATTTCCTTATAACTGACTTCCACTGGTTTTTTTTCCTCACTACATCTGATGAAACAGATATTGATATAAATCAAATTATGAGTCTGAAAGATGTGACCATACCTCACTGGTCTGCAAAAAAATCTGTTTATTTAATTAAAGTATGGTAGGTAACAGGAAAGAAATACCTATGTTATACTGGGAGTAGACTGTTCCAATCCAAGTAATCTGAACTGCAGTTTCCATAATTCTTGCCTTTAGGAATGTTGGTTAGAGTTCATGGAAGGTGCAGCCAAAATATAGGTTATCTATTTCTGCCTTATGTATTATTAAATTAATAGAAGTAATGAAGCATGGTGTCTTCTGAACAGGTGCGACTGCTAACGATACGGATTTTAAGTCATTTTGATGATCTGCTTTCAACAGGAACCCAGGTAATGTGTCAAGCGATAATTTAGTGCAACAAATGGTGCAGCATTCATGCGGAAAGAGGGCTTTTCCAGTGATTCTAAAATGGCTAAAATTGCAACGGTGGATAAACCAAAGTATAGTTTTAGTAGTGTTCCCTAACTTGTATTTCTGAATGTTGGTATGCCATTATTTTTGGTGAATTTAGAGCTTGCATTAGCGAAGGTTTGATTTCCTCAAGATACTTTGTACAGCAGTACATTTTCTTCTTTCATTTAAAACAATAATGAATGGCGAGGAACAGCTCAGATTTAAGTTTAGGGTGGTGTGTTTTCTTCTGGTTGAAAACAAGTATTTGATGTTATTCTCATCCATTCACTGAACTTATTCCCCTCCAGTTTCCACTGTATTTTTTTGACATATTGATTATCAGCTGATTCCTACCAATTGTTAGGAAACTTTTTGATTAATAAGCTATGAATGCATTTGCCTTTGAAGAAACTTTCTGACAACACTTGTTTTTTCTTATTTGCTAAGGATGTGGGGTTATTTGGTATGTTGCTTCAAGCGGAACTTGTGCCAGCAAATGTCAATGATTATCGTGAGAAGCTGCTCTATCTAAGTAAGCTGAGATATGATTTGGTGCAGTCCCTGATCCCTGAGGGACCTTTGCAGGAGGTAAAATGTCCTTTGTGGAAAGTCCTAGCATAACTGCATTTTCTAAAAGCAGATCACAATGTTTTTGTATTTTGTCATAATGGATTTAATAATGTGATGTTACAGTAACAATTCTGAGAAACAAAATCAATTCACCCCAGTGGTTAAGATCCAGGATTTCCATGGAATATAGAGAACATAGCTGTCTCCATTTTTATTTTCTGATCAGATAAATTTGTGGGTGTGTGGAGCTGTCAGGTGTAAATTATATTTTTAAATGACATTTGCATTAAGGGAAACTTAATTATTTCTATTAGCAATGTGGATTTAAAACCAAGGGCAATTATTTTGTTTTTTTAAGGGAAAGATGATTCTCTTTATTATTTAATTAGATTATCTTTCTGGTACGTCTGAAATACTGTTTTTATTCTCTTAACCAAATGTCTATCAAATTGATCAGATGCTTGCAGGGACCCCCTCTATATTGTGCAGACTACTAGGCTGCAGTGGGATCCAGTGCAGCACTAGTCCCATTCACATCTTCTTTTTGTAGCAGAGACCACAATCTAATCCATTGTGATTGTTACTGGCCAAGCAGGTTCAATATGACCTGGTATGTCAAAATTTGATTAATAATTAGCTGTTAAATTCTTTAAGAAAACAGCTGTTGATACATGAGTGGCTACATGTGTGGCTAATAAACAAGGATTTCATAGATATAGCCCAAGATTTCAGGGAAAAAAGTCACTATTATGCCAATTGTTACTAGAATTTAAGAAAATTGGCAAAATTAATATATTGAAAACTAATGAACTAGCAGCATTTAAGAGGAATATCTTTGTAGTAATGGATACCAGTGATCTTGTTTAATGCATATTAGTGGTGGATTTTAAAGAGGCAAGCAAACATTTCGGAATGTTACTCTAGGTGCCTCTTCGATATTTACTGGGAATGCTTTATATCAACTTCAGTCCACTGTGGGACCCTGTGACTGAGCTTATAAGGTAAGTCTTTGTTTTTTCAAGAAAAAGAGCAAATGGGGTAGGTGTTGGGCTAGAACTCAGATTCAGGTCAGCCCTAAGCCATGGAAGCTCGCTGGGTGATATGGGGTCAGTCCATCTCAGCTCAACATGCCTCACAGGGTTGTGGCGGGAAATACTGTAAGAAGGAGTGCAGTATATGCCACCTTGAATTCCTGAAAGAAAGGCAAATATAGTTATAAATAAATATAAGTTATAATAAGTATAAAAATTGACAGTGTCATACATCTGTGAATTTTGTGGGGTAAAGAATTAGCCTTATGTGTTAATGAAGTAAATGTCTTATTTCTGGTGAGACTGCTGAATGTGCCATTCTCTTGAAGGGGGTCTAGCTAACATTTTTCAGCCTATCGGAAACATGAGTTCTTTATTTTAGACTTTCTGTTTTCTGTTCATCTGAGGCCTCATGGCACCTAGCAGATTTTTTAATATATATGATTGATATGTAATGTTCTCATTTTATAAAATAAAATAAAACTGAATTGACAGTACATAATGCCTAAGCTAAAATTGAAATCCTTGCTTCCACATCCGTCGTAAAGTTGTTATTGCAGAATTGTATTCCTCACTACTTATTTTTTTGGCCACATCTACCTGTCTTGGTCTATGAAAGGTGTTTAGTTTTGTTTTGTAAATTTAGTCTTATAGAATTATGTTGGTTCTACCCATATACATTAGAATGTGACCTCAAAGTCTTTCTCCTTCTTTTGTTTCAACTTGAGTCTGGGAGAAAGTGAATGATGCCAAACATTTTTTATGGGAAGGAAAATTTTCTTAATGAGCAGATGTTGTTCTAGAGGGAGTGCAGTTTCATGTTTGTGGCAATACAGCTTAAGGATCCCTTGCATAATCAAAAGAGTAGGAGAACAAAGTACTCATCCCTCTCTGTAATTGAGTTTCTGGGTGGAAAGGCTATCCTTTCTAGCTCATGTATGACAAATATCCAGCACGTTGAATCCAGGGAGCTTTTGCTCGAGATGAGGAAAGAACTGAAATCCCAGTTGCACAAGATGTTGCACAAGTCTTAAGATGAGTACTTGTCCTAAGTTTGTGCTGTGAGTAATCAGTGCCAGATCTCAATCAGTAATCAGTGGCAGAACTACCAAAATTTCTCTCACTGCCATCGCTCACTAAATGAATTCCTCCTCTTATTATCCCTGCATATCTGTGTTGTGGATAAATTGCTCTAATTAAATTCCTTCTTGCCAGTTTGTCATTAAAGGCAAACTGCCCTTTTCAGGAGGGAAGTTAACCCAAAACTTTAGGAGATATATGTCTCCTTAATATAAACTGATTTAGACAAATTAGACAAATTAATTTATGAAGGATTCCTCTACTGAACTCGCCATTTTAGTTGAAAATCCACTTTTTTCTAGTGTGTATTTAAGCTACAGTGACCATATTTTCTTGGGAAAAAATAAAGGACAAATCTGAAAAAGGGCCAAATCTGAAAGAGGTTCATAAGGTTTTAAAAAATTAATTGTTGATGCTTATAATTTTGCTTTTCAAAGGAAAATTCAACAGCAAACCTAAGAAAATAAATAATTAAATATTTTTTCCTGAAATAAAGAGCTGTCCTTTCTAATAAAGGATATATGGTCACTGTAATTTAAGCACATGCTGTAGAATGACCACAAATAAAAATTCAGTCCACTGGGCAAAAGAAATGTGAACAAGCAGAACCACATCACAAGGAAACTTTTCAAAGAAAAAAGAATAAGAAATAATCCCAGTGTGGTGGCTTTTTTCCTTCTCTTTGTTACTGAATGAAGCACTGTTTTCTGAATATTTCAGTGCCATCATACTCTGTTAAACCACTTTGCACTTTTAGAGTAAATCAGATTATGGATCTGATATGAGCAAGCTAGATATGCTTATGAGATTCCTTATGCTTCTCTTTTTAAAACATACTGCAAAATGATTTTGGATTGTGATACAGTAGGAATAAATTAATAAAAGAAAAGTACAAATAGTTTAGTTTCTGTGAACAAAAGAGGACATGAATATTGATAGTTAAGAGTGGATTTGTTCACTTATTTAATGTTTGTAAAATAAAACCCCTTTTTTTAATTAGGTCCCATGCAGATGAAATGGAAAACAAGCTATTCTGGAAAGTTTATTATGAACATTTGGAAAAAGCTGTGTCCTACGCTGGTAAGACATTGTCATATAAAAGACTCAGTAAAGATAGAGGCAAGGTCAAAGCTGCTCATTAACTAAGCCATTGGCATCTGACTTTGTATTCTTCAGAAGTTTTCTCCCCTGCCCCCTCTGTCTCTCTCAGGTTCCAGTGCCAAAATGCGCGAGTTTGCAGTGATCTGGAATTGTTGCTTTCCTTTCTGTTGTTTCTTTTTGCTTCCAAATAACACAAAGCAATTATTCTTACTGATAAGGGGCCTCAATTTCTGGAAGTGCTCAATTTCTGGGCCTGTTGCAGAACCCCAGTGGGTTGAACAGTATTCACTAAAGTGGAACTCTTAAATTTTCACTTTTCTGTAGTTCTTTATTAATTGCATTATAATCAGGACTATAAATAGGTTTGCTACAAATTTGCAGTAATAAGATAGCTGGCAAATCTTTTTAGATTTTTAATTTTTTTAATGGCCATTTTGGTGATTTTTCCACAGAAAAGGAGCTAGAAGAAGAACCAAAAGCAGTTAAGGATGCTGGAAGTGAGGCAATCCATCAGCATCATGTCAGAGCTTTGTATCTTGAGCAACTGAAATGGCAGACATGCTGTAATGAGAGAACGGATCATATAAATTTTAGGTTTCTCCTTTGGAAGGCAATGTCAAGATTTCCATCCAGGGTGGAGCCCAGGTCAAGAGAACTTTCCCCACTTCTACTAAGATTTATTAAGTAAGTGAGGATTTTTAAAAAGGAATTAGTTTATATACATGTTTCACAAACACTGTTGGAATTAGTTGATTACTCATAAAGAAATGTAAGCAGTTTTTCAGCTAGTTCATGTGATAGAATAGTTCATATTATGGCTTATTGACAGAGAGGCCTGACTGTACTTGATACTTTTTCCCACAAGTGCTCATGACAGACCGCAGGTGTGTAATGCGCTGTGAGAATAACCTTGAGTAACAAGCGAGAGCCGCAACCAAGACAGTGGTCAGATAAATGAAATCTGAGTCCAAAGCAGAAATGTAGACTTGACCCACTCTAATTCTCTTGTAAATAAAAGCAGGGAGGGGGGAGGCGCATTCAGACTTGCAAGATTCTGTTACTGTAACTCTATAATAAAAGTATTAGTATTCATAACTTTGGCTTCCTAGTCTGGTTTACCTCAAAGGGCTGACAAGGTGATACCATTTTCCAAACGAAAAATATCTTCTTGTATTTGTGTGGATGCATTAAAATATGAAAGCTTATAACTAGTAGTTCTCAAAAATATGGGATTAAAGTAGTTGTCTCCTACATATGATTGTGGTGGATAGCAACAGAGAGCAAGGCTATCAGGAAGGAGGGGGTGCATTCCAGGAAGGGAAAGGAGAAAAAAGACAACCCTGTCCACAGCGGGAGGGTGGGAAGCATATGAGGGTCAGGGTAGCCGCTCCCTAGAATCTCCCAAGGTATATCC